CCAATATCGTAATTGGAACAGCGAATTTAATTAACAATGTTACAAATTCGAAAGCTCTCTAAACCGTGTATAGACATGTTTTATTTGTCGAGATCGATTCGACAAATAGTCGAATAATATAATTATAATTAATAATATAATTATAATATATAATATATTATTATATATATATATTAATATATATATATTATATATATATAATATATAATATATATATATATATATATATATATATATATATATATATATATATATTATATTATTATATTTATATTATAATTATATATATATATTATATTATTATAATTATATTATAATTATATATATATATTATATATATTATAATTATAATAATATAATTATAATATATAATATATTATACAATATAACTGTCGTTCGCGATAGAAACAAAATGCTGTTCCATCTACATACCTGCTCACTTCCCCCCACTTTTGGCGAACCCTGTACACCTCGAACTTCCTGCAGAAGTCCAGTTGCAGCTTTATAGTAAAGGCGTGGTGTTAATTGTCTCCGTCGGTTTACCGGGAAGCAGCGGGCTAGTAAAGCACAAGATAACGACGGAGTAAATTGTGCCGCGCGATGTGTATTACGCTTTCATTTGCATAAATATTCTTCGGTTGTTCGCGTTCCGCGCACGAGTTCCGGATTCACCGATGCCGGTTCGTTCGGTTCGCGGCAGCAACAGCAGCAGCAACGTCCGTTTTTTCGTTCGCACCTTCGTCCGCCTCTGTGCTTTTGCTTTTGTTTTCTCCTCCGTTTTTGTTTTCGCTATTTTTGTTTCTCGCTTCTTCCTTTTGTTGTTCGTTTTCCCAGGAATCCCGTGTTGCGTCATTGCGGGATCGCCGGTGCCCCCGCGAACAGAACTTTGTGTAGGATTTTACGAGCTGGATAGGTGTCTCGAAACTCGCCCTATCCGGTTTCCGTTCCCGTAAAAATTGATTAAACATCCCGGCTCATTAAGTGCATTCGCTTGTAGAACGTTATCGAATAAATTGCCGATAAGATGATACGAGTAATTAATGTCGGCCTTACCATTATAAATTGTAACGCTGATTTCATTCTCCATCGCGTTTCCGCGCGCGGATCGACGCACCCGTCCGCGCCGATCCGCGGCGTTTCGGATCCACCGACGAAGTCCCTCTTCCAGTATATTAAACGCATAACTCGCCGATATGGCAAATGAAACGAATTTATCCGGTCCGAGTGCGCGGGAACAGTTAGACGTTGGAACGTATGAAGTTGCAGGTTTGATAGACCGAGCACGATTTCGTCGACGATCGTCTTTATTATACTGGTTTACTTAGATCATTCGATACTTTTTACCTCGACATAATTACCTTACACATAATTATGGTATACTTACATATACGATACGTATGTACACTTACGTATAATTATGGTATTTTCAGGAAATCTGGGATTCCTGATTTCAAGTAACTTTTTCCTTAGCGAAAATGCAATCCGCGGCTTCGTTTACGAGTTATTAACGAAAAACAGCGACCAATGGGAGGCGAGCTCGACCGACGCGAGGCGGCCGAGTCAACGAACAGTCGACGCCCAGTTCCTCCGATTGGCTCTGCCGCCTAACGCGAGCTCGCCTCTCATTGGTCAGCGTTTTTCGTTAATAACTCCTAAACGAAGCCGCGGATTGCATTTTCGCTAAGGAAAAAGTTGCTTCAAATGATCTCATGNGCTCGCCTCTCATTGGTCAGCGTTTTTCGTTAATAACTCCTAAACGAAGCCGCGGATTGCATTTTCGCTAAGGAGAAAGTTACTTCAAATAACCCGAAGAACCCCTAATTTCCCGGAAGTACCATGATTACGAAACTCCCTGTACAACGTTCGCTTCGTCTAGAAGAAAGAAGCGAGCGGATTCTCCTATTCGCTTAAAAATAAAACGACCGTTCGTTCCGACACGACGGAAATATTTTTCATTAACCGGAGGTTAATTGCCTCGTCGACAAGATATCGGGGGGCCTTAACAAAATTCTAACGAGTCGTCCGGCACTTCGACTACGAACGAGTGCAACGCATTCCTGCGATTTTATTGCCTGCTCGAAAATCTTGTCCGGCGACAGCTTTTCGGCTCGGCTCGGCTCGGCTCGGCGTTTCGGCCGATCGTGAGTGTCCCCTGTTCCGTTTCAGGCACCGCTAGGGTGCGGATTTATAGGCATTAATTAAACGCTATTCATTAGGCTCGTTCCCGCTCCTCGGTAGCCCAGAGGTATCGTCTCGGATATTCTCGAAAAAAACACTGATTAGGCGACCGGAATCGTGTTCGCCGCGTTAGACCACACAGGTCGGCAGGGCCATCGCGTCAATTCGCTGACGGTAATCTCCGGGACTTCTTTCCGCGCACGATGTTATCCGGCACGCTTCTATGCTCATAATACGTTACCTCGGGTATCACTGATCTTGATCGGATCGGACGTACAGGGTAGATGTCCCAGAAAAAGAAAAGTGTTATACGAGCGGTTTATTTTGAAAGTGGCCTCCGAGTTCATTTATTTTAAAGCCCGGATATTTAAGGATTTTGCGTTTCGATAAGTTTAAAAATATATATTGAAACGTTAAAGAATAATATACAATTTATAATATATATAGTATAATTTATATATGTATAATAGTATGGTAGTACAATGTTTCTGTGTTNGTTCGCACCTTCGTCCGCCTCTGTGCTTTTGCTTTTGTTTTCTCCTCCGTTTTTGTTTTCGCTATTTTTGTTTCTCGCTTCTTCCTTTTGTTGTTCGTTTTCCCAGGAATCCCGTGTTGCGTCATTGCGGGATCGCCGGTGCCCCCGCGAACAGAACTTTGTGTAGGATTTTACGAGCTGGATAGGTGTCTCGAAACTCGCCCTATCCGGTTTCCGTTCCCGTAAAAATTGATTAAACATCCCGGCTCATTAAGTGCATTCGCTTGTAGAACGTTATCGAATAAATTGCCGATAAGATGATACGAGTAATTAATGTCGGCCTTACCATTATAAATTGTAACGCTGATTTCATTCTCCATCGCGTTTCCGCGCGCGGATCGACGCACCCGTCCGCGCCGATCCGCGGCGTTTCGGATCCACCGACGAAGTCCCTCTTCCAGTATATTAAACGCATAACTCGCCGATATGGCAAATGAAACGAATTTATCCGGTCCGAGTGCGCGGGAACAGTTAGACGTTGGAACGTATGAAGTTGCAGGTTTGATAGACCGAGCACGATTTCGTCGACGATCGTCTTTATTATACTGGTTTACTTAGATCATTCGATACTTTTTACCTCGACATAATTACCTTACACATAATTATGGTATACTTACATATACGATACGTATGTACACTTACGTATAATTATGGTATTTTCAGGAAATCTGGGATTCCTGATTTCAAGTAACTTTTTCCTTAGCGAAAATGCAATCCGCGGCTTCGTTTACGAGTTATTAACGAAAAACAGCGACCAATGGGAGGCGAGCTCGACCGACGCGAGGCGGCCGAGTCAACGAACAGTCGACGCCCAGTTCCTCCGATTGGCTCTGCCGCCTAACGCGAGCTCGCCTCTCATTGGTCAGCGTTTTTCGTTAATAACTCCTAAACGAAGCCGCGGATTGCATTTTCGCTAAGGAGAAAGTTACTTCAAATAACCCGAAGAACCCCTAATTTCCCGGAAGTACCATGATTACGAAACTCCCTGTACAACGTTCGCTTCGTCTAGAAGAAAGAAGCGAGCGGATTCTCCTATTCGCTTAAAAATAAAACGACCGTTCGTTCCGACACGACGGAAATATTTTTCATTAACCGGAGGTTAATTGCCTCGTCGACAAGATATCGGGGGGCCTTAACAAAATTCTAACGAGTCGTCCGGCACTTCGACTACGAACGAGTGCAACGCATTCCTGCGATTTTATTGCCTGCTCGAAAATCTTGTCCGGCGACAGCTTTTCGGCTCGGCTCGGCTCGGCTCGGCGTTTCGGCCGATCGTGAGTGTCCCCTGTTCCGTTTCAGGCACCGCTAGGGTGCGGATTTATAGGCATTAATTAAACGCTATTCATTAGGCTCGTTCCCGCTCCTCGGTAGCCCAGAGGTATCGTCTCGGATATTCTCGAAAAAAACACTGATTAGGCGACCGGAATCGTGTTCGCCGCGTTAGACCACACAGGTCGGCAGGGCCATCGCGTCAATTCGCTGACGGTAATCTCCGGGACTTCTTTCCGCGCACGATGTTATCCGGCACGCTTCTATGCTCATAATACGTTACCTCGGGTATCACTGATCTTGATCGGATCGGACGTACAGGGTAGATGTCCCAGAAAAAGAAAAGTGTTATACGAGCGGTTTATTTTGAAAGTGGCCTCCGAGTTCATTTATTTTAAAGCCCGGATATTTAAGGATTTTGCGTTTCGATAAGTTTAAAAATATATATTGAAACGTTAAAGAATAATATACAATTTATAATATATATAGTATAATTTATATATGTATAATAGTATGGTAGTACAATGTTTCTGTGTTTATAAGGGTTATCGCCGCGGTTTCGAGGCTTCGCTGAAATGAAATTGAGTAAATAATGTATTAAAATATTATATGTATTAAAATAGTTGGTTCGATGTTTTTGGAAAATGGACTTAGGGTAGTTTTAAATATATAAATTGATGATCTATTTTTTTGTTTTATTATGACCATCTATCAACGTGCAAGATCAGGGGAGGGTTGTTATATTTTTCACAGGTTAAAATGTAATAAACATTTTTCAGTTGACGTTACAGAAGCTCCGAGGAATTTTTTCTCGTATAAATTAACTATTAAAAACTATTAACTATTAAAAACACTGATCTTCATATATTTCTTATTTTCTTTTTATATTTTTATATAAAACACTGATTTTATATTAAAACTTCTATTAAAATACCTATAACATAATTAAAATACTTGTAGAAGTACACTGATTTTTATATTTTTAATATAAATCCAGAAATAGGGTTAGATTTTTGAATACGTACGAATTTTAGTGCCCTCTTGTATCAGAGGGTGTAATCTAATCTAACCTCACTTTCATTCCAAAACAGTCGAAAAAGCGTGCACGAGTCCACGTGAATCTTTGCGAATTGTTGCGAGCCTTTTCCCATAAAGAGATAAAATCGTAAGTAAACGTTCGCTATATAAAAAAAGGAAGAGTTATTTTATACAATTATCGTCGATTTATTAAATATAGCTGTAGTGGTCTCTGAACATGTTGCCGTTGGAAATAATCGAGAAGTACATCGACGAGACAACCTTACGAACATTTAGGTCCGAGAAAAATGAGAAGTGGACAGGGCGAATAGAAGATCAAAGTTTGTTTTACTTATGGAGGATGATTCGCGACGGAAGCAGAAACACTTCGCACGATAACAATGATACTCCTGTGGTATCAGATCCAGAATCTGACGAGCCTGACAGATAACGGAGCGCAGGATGTCGAAGTACCGAAGAAGAACAATAATAAAGAAGAACAATAATAAAATAGAAGAATAGAGTAACAAAGAAGAACAATAATAAAGTAGAATAATAAAGTAATAAAGAAGAACAATAATAAAGTAGAATAATAAAGTAATAAAGAAGAAAAATAATAAACAGAACAATAATAAAGTAGAATAATAGAGTAACAAAGAAGAACAATAAAATATATGAAAACTCGCAAATTAGTGATAACAAAAAAGCGCGATAAAAATGAGCGATTTAATAATGTTTTCAATGAAATAAAAGAAAAAGTATTACTGGCCAAGCAACGGTTACACGATTAACAATTTTTTAGGTCTAAACTTCGTCGACATAAAGACTTTCGAAGGGTGAAATAACGATTCTAA